ACGACTGCTGACGCGGACAGGCTTGCACATGTTCACATCCCCACCTTGGTGTCCATATTTGCCGTACCATTAAGAAAATTCTCAATCTCTTTTTTGGTACCCCCAAGTTAAATGCAATGCAGTTGGCATGGCGACAACCTTCCCGCAACAAGGGCTCTCTTCCTTGAAGCCAGGCTTCGCGAAGCACCTCTGTTCCTGCTCCACGCCTCACAACATCTTGGAGCTCCTCTGCATGCATTCATGATCATCAGCCATGACCTCATGACCATGCATGATCCAACATCGGACGGCTCTAGTAGGCCCCGAGATGACGGGGGTGGTGAAGCGCATCGCTTGAACTTATTAGTGTGGCTTATCGGGCATGAAACAGTGTTTTCCTCTCACGACAAATCAGCTTTAGCGCTTATCAGCCCATCAGCCGAGGCCTCACGTCACGCTCTCGGCCACACAGTCACGCCATGGCATGTCGCGTGCCGGATTCGGCCATCCACGGCTTCGTCGATCGGGGTACTGAATGCGAGGCGCACGTCGGGTGGGTGTGGGTGCGCAAGGGCTGGCAGCAGCCGAGCAGTCAGGCAGCTGTGTTCTGGTGACAACCAAACCGTGGCGTGTGTGTGGTTCAGTGGCTGGGCTGTGGTCGCGGTTATTGGGCGGCCGGCCATCGCATGGGAGGAGCCGAAAGCCGAGGAGGAGCCGGCATGGCAGCTGGGGTTCGCTCGCGGGCGCGGTTGCCGAAAGAGATGGCGGGGGTGGCGTCGCTCGGCGGGCAGCTACCTTGCACTGCCTCGGTCGCTCGATCCTGTCGTGGTTGGGAGGCGTTAAATGCGTTGGCTGGCGCCCGGTTGGTGTCTGGGCCGAGCAAATGAGCGAGAGCGGCAGCGCCAGCCGCCCAGCCCGTGCTCTCTCCCGTCTGCCACCGCTCCGCCGGGGGTTGCTCGGTTGGCGCGAAAGGGAGCGGAAGTTATTGAGGCGCGCGGCACCGGCGAGCGCGTCGCTGTTTCCGGGGTGCTGGACGGCACGGGCCGGTCCCGATCTCGTGGACGTTGGGAAAGGGAAAACGGGCAGCCGGGGCGAGACCCCTTTCCGGCGCCAGGTTCCACTGTTCCAGTTCGTTGGAGGCGCGATCGATCGGTTGCCCCGCTGCCTTGAGGTTGGCAAGTGTCGGGCAAGGCCGGGCTTGCTGGTTTGACCTGGGTACTCACTTCACTGTTCGGTGAGCAACTACTGTCAGAAGAAGAAGCAGCGTTGTCAAGCATTAAGGGCCCGTTTGGCACGGTTTCCGCCGGCGCCGGCTCCGGCTCCGCCTAACAAAATATACGTCGGTCACTGTAGCGATGAGCCGGTTTTCTCTCTCGGGGGAAAACGAGCTTCTCCGGCTCCGATGAACAATGCGAGTGTCAGTGAGAGGGGGAGAGGAGAAGAGAAGAAAAGCCGCTTCTATGAACAGTCGCTACAGTATCGTTGTCAGGGAAGCCCGAGCCGGCGGAAGCCGTGCCAAACAGGTCCTAACTTTGGATCGCATTTTCGATGCTCCTAGTAGCAGCATTTCTCTCCCCATCATGTATCGTCGTAATTCCAGGCGTTCCTACCGGCTGTTAACACTATACGTACAAGCTACGGACTATGGTGCAGTACTACTGCACTCTTAACTTACGCCTCAGCGCTCAGCGGCGTACGTACCTTTGATGGTGGCATGCCCGTGACCGTGAGTCCAGTGTCAGCAGAGAGTTTCATTTCCGTGTTTTACAAGACTGTCATTGTTTAGATGAAATATCCACTCTTAATGAAAAGTTTCATTACATAGTTTCATAAATATTTTATTCTATGACTCATAGAGAGTTGGTAATTATGCTAAATCCAATTTTTCTCTCTCTTCATTAAAACGTTGCCATGTTATCAAAATTGCATATGTAGCAGGTTATTAAATACAAATTAAACTCTAGTAAAACTCTCGCTGAGACTAGCCTAACCAAGGCTGCCATGATTTTCCTGCATGTACCAGTATTGCTGCGGCCCCCCCATGTATGATAAAGCAGAGTAGAAATTGAGGGTATGTTCGGCTGGTATTAAAGCCAGCTAAAGCTGATTTATTGTGAGAGAAAAATACTGTAGATTTTAGTTGATAAGCTGGCTGATAAGTTCAAACGAGCAGGCCCTGATTCGTCATTCCTCCGCCACCACTTCACCCTTGAGATATCGTGACTTCGTGACCACGACTGAATTCAGTCTTGCGAGACACACGCACTGCACGGTAAATTTGACAAACATATAAGCAAGTAAGCAACACATTGAATCATAGATGGTGCACATGCACTGTTGATGCCGTGTTCACTGTGCCTGAATGACCAAAAACCAGCCCGGGTCTTTAGGAAAAAAGAGGCAGAAACCTATGTATCCTTTTTCCTCCCTGGGCAAGAGTTGACAACAATAAGCAACGAATGCTAACTTTCTGCCACAAAATTCGTGCCATACTGCCATGGCCGCATCAAGCATTCGTATCCTGTCCTCTCACACACAACTCATGAGCAAGGTATGATCCCTGTGCCTGGAACTCCTTTCATCATTGGCATGAAACATTTTTCATTTGACATCAAAGTAGCATGATGCGTTGACAAGGAAAAACAATTAGTTACGTGCATTCCAAATATGGATGAAATCAGACAGATAAGATATTATGGATACTGAATATGGATATTTATTTCTGGCTTTAGAGTCCAATATTGATAGCGTCAGATGCGTCGAATATTGATACATATCCCATATATATGTAAAAAAATATCCAATTTTGAGTATCGGATTCAAATACATTACATATATAAATTCACCACACTCATATATAACTACGTGGGTGGGATGCTAATATGTTGGACTTATCAGCCTGCCTTATTAGCCATGGAACAATGTTTTTCTCTCACAAGAAATCAGCTTCAGCCGACTTATCAGCCATAGAAACCATCAGCGAACAGCTCGATGTGTGCCATTGAAAAAGATGGTTGACCCATATGTATGTACCAATGAAAAGTTCACCGTGACATCTATATCAACTTTAAAATTGTTCTTTCCCCTGATGACACTTCCATCAGGTGGGTATTAACTTTCTAGTTAGCATTGTTGGTTACAGAGTGGCACACAAGGAGTTGTCTAAAAACCAAATGACACATGTACAAATCTCATATTGAATACTTAGGCTTCTAAATAATGTTGAATGGAAAAAATTTCAACTACAAAGTTTTAGATCTCGTCGAGCACTACACCTTTAATATAGGGTGTTCCATCCGAGATCATTTGAAACATTCAAAAATTTGAATTTCAAGCTATAAACTTAATGAAAACTACAAAGTTTTAGATCTTGTCGATCTCTTATACGGGTTTAAATCCTCTTCGATCCCCTCCATTCCACTTGGATCGGGGACGGAATAAACAGGCAGACAGTCCTCTTCAACAGTTCAACCCCATGTTTTGGGAATCAAACGAACAAGGCCTAAAGATGATATGTTTCTAAAAGAAAAGTGCTATCAAATCCATCATAGATTAGTATATCGCTTCAATAGATTTCATTAATGTCATACGAAAACAAAGGCACGGATCCACAACTTATATAGTATCCTAAAGTTCGAACAACCACCGATAACTACAAGAGGCACTAGCAATTGGAGGTCCTTGTTTCCAATGTAACTCTACTCGCCTTATGCTTCTTACCTTGTGATTCCCTGGCTCCCAGCCAACTCTTTTGGGTCCAAGACCCTCCACCACTGGGCTAACCCCCCGGATCTGTGGTAATGTATCAGGTAGGGACTCTTCGTCCATCGTCATTCTTAAAAAAATACTATGCAGTAATATTGATTATAATTCATCAAGAATTGTCTTCCTTAAATGGAAGGCTCACTATATCTTTACAGGGAGCACGCTATCCACATTGTTAGATTAAGTCAAAAAGTTCCTTGTGCTGTATCCTGGTAACATCAGCGAGTTGTAGACCCTACCAGAGTGACATAGTCCATAGAACATAGGTGCTACGCAGAATTAAAATTACGTAGAACACATTAATATGCATTCCCAATTGTAATAGGGAACTTAATAAATCTATACACCTAGAAGCAACATCCTGAAATAACTTCTTCAGACACGCATGCTCCAAGGATGAGTACCGTTGAAATGCGCACAGAAAGACGTGTGATGTGCCCTGTACACTCTGGCTATTCTTGTTGGAAGATGAACAATGCATCATCCACGCCCATCTTTGCCCAGAAATAATTGAAGGTGAACATGCATGATTAAGAAGAAGACAGGTTTACACCAGGGTATCAATGAAGATCTGAAACAGTATTCCTTTTATTTTATAGGTAAGATAATAATACAAATTCTTTTACTAAAGGAGCCCTTGTAACTCCCCAAACGGAAAGTTCTTTAAATAAAATAAGCATTGATCAGGCTGTAGCACCACAGGCGAAAAGGGCAATACTAACAGAAACAGAGAAAGATGTACTCCGTATCAAGTATGCACTGCTATAGACAGATGGATGCTTCAACTAACAGCATCAAGCCACAAGCATCTAGAAATCTAGGGCATGTTTGCTTCTTGCCCTCCCAGGCATGTGCTCGTGCAGGCATCAATCGGAGCCCCAGGCGTCCGAAATCGTATGCCTGGGAAAGCTTCTCACCAGGCAAGTTGCCTGGGATGTAATCCAAACAGGGCCTAATAACTATCCAAGGGCACAGATTCTGGTCTTATAAATTGATCTTTTTTGAACTGGATTTACATTCATCCTGATCTCTGGGTTTCTTCTTATACATATGATTCCAGGCTTTCTTTGAAACAGATCTTCAGAAAGCACTAGGGTATACTACACAGCCATGCTGGTCGCAACTTATAAAATGGGATAAAATAATTGCATATGACATAGATACAAAATTCATGGTACACGAAAAATTAAGAACAAAAAGGGGAGCAATAAGCATATGCTAAAAGAAAGAGAAGAGGAGTACATCACATAGGAAGTCTACGCAGAGCCGCTATCAGATTCACCAGAACCAGCACCACCTTTTTTCTTGGCAAAGTACTCTTCTGCACGAGCTTGGTTCTTCAGATAATTTTGTGAAAGCCATTTCTTCCGTTTAGGTAACAGAGTCAGGGAACAACCAGCTGCCTCAAGCTTCTCTTTAGCCGAAGCTGAAAACGCTCCAGCCTTGATATTCAACTTAACCGATACATCCCCATCTCCTAAGATCTACAAACAGGTGAACAAAAAGTGAACATGCAGGCCAGACAAAATTTGATTGCAAAAACTAACAGGTAAAAATACTAGAGTAATGTTATAGCACATGTTGGCAGATATGGAAGTTTATAGTTACTTTAGAATATACCGTAAATCCAATGAACAGCCAATGGCAATAATTCCAAACTGTACAAACAAAAGCCATTCAACACTCCAAGTGGTGCTCATCTAACAGAAACAGCCAAAAAAACTTGATCCGGCATTGCATGTTCTAACAGATGACTTCTAACTCAAGTGGCTAAACTTGGTACCTACCATTATCACAGGCTAATTCAGAACCGATAAAGCAACCTTTAAGAAGTACAAAAGTAAGAAAACTGGCCACTCAATCTAACGACAAAGCACTAAACACTTTGATTCTTGCTTCAAATCTGGTGTACAATAAGGTTGTCTTAAAGAGAAGTTCTCACTGGCCAAGACCTAAGCTAAACCCCTTGAATATGAAGGCATTCATATTTTGGATAGTGTGAACTCCTATATCACAAATACCATTCCACAAAACAAGTTTTAATAAAGCAACAAAAGGCTAATCATCAAAAATTATACCTTCAGTGGAAGCTTCCTTTCCCTGCCTGATGGATTGATCAGACCCCGTGATTTCAGGGTCTCCAGTGATATTTCGTCACCATCTTTGAATCCACCACGCACTATGTCTTTTAAATTGAATGGCATATACTTCGGCAGCCCAATGTGCATTCCTGAAAAGCCATGGTGGAACTCACATCAGGCAACTTCTCAATCACTTGCGTTGCTGCATTCCTGCATAATCTTGATGAGTTCTCACAAGTAACAACACAATGTATAGTTCAATTGGTTATGCGCCCGCCTCCTGTGAATTTAATCACGGATGGGCAATGTCGAAGTGGGAGTGTGGGACAAGCATCTGTCTGAACTAGAGCTTAGCGAGCTGCTTCGATTGATTGAGTGCATTAGGGGAGGCTTCGGCTTAACTGAAGCAACTCACCGCCGGCAATGCCCCGTAGCTTGGGAATACGGCGGTAGAGCGGCATCTGCCCTCCCTCGAACCCGCGCCGGACGCCGGGCCCCGAGCGCGATTTCTGCCCGCGCATACCGAACCCGCAGCTCGCGCCCTGGCCTGCAGCAATACCGCGTCCCTTCCGCTTGGGCCGCCGGCGTGACCCCTTCTGCGGGCCCAGGTTGTCCAGCCGGAACTTCTCCACTGGCGCCGCGGCGTCCGAGGCCTCGGCTGCCGCCGCAGCGCCGCTGCAGACGACGGTGACGCGGCGGGGCGGGCGCGCGCGGAGCGGGAGGGCGCGGGGCGCGGCCCGGCGGCCGGCTAGGATTCCGGGAGCGGCGACGAAGGAGGAGGAGGTGGAGGCCGGGATGTGGAGGAAGGTGGCGGTGGGAGCGACGGAGAGGAGGGTGATGGAAGCCATGGCTGCCGTTGGGGCGGCTAGCGACTGTGGATAGAAGCGGATTATTGGGGTTTTGGGAGCGAGATAAGATGGAGACGATGGGCCTCTCTCCACTCTTTTATCTGGGCTCGCTTTTTCAAACAGCCGTGGCCCATTCATGTCTTGAAAAAAAAAATCCAAAGTTGTATATAAAGAAGAAAAATCAGTATTGAATGGTATGCAAGTCCTACGTCATAGTAGAAACCATGGATTTAAATAGCGGGTTGTCGCTATAGCTTCTAAAGGGAGCTCATGCTAAACCATTGCTACTTTTTCATGCTCAATATACCAGCTATGACCGTTATATTACGTTTTATCGTGGCTAAATTGCTTAGCTGTAGCTTTGAAATAGCAATGCTATTTTATTTAGTTATAAGAGTGACAATTTAGTTATTATCTACTTATCTTTTTGCTGCTAAGTCGGTGTTTTGAAAAAATGAACACTTGAGTTCACGAATGATGCTATAATGCCATACTAAGCAATTTTCTCTAGACTTTGAAAACCTTGGAAATATATTTGTGTCCACCAAATTTCATAAATCTTATGTTATTATGAATCAATTGCTTATATTTTTCATGATTTTACTTAAAACCTGCTATCTGTCGTAGCTTCGCTACATCTTTATAGCTTCTGAAAAAAGATGTCGCTATTTGCTATAGACTGTAATTTTAAACCTTGGTAGAAACCAAGGCTGAGTATTTTAAATTCACATACGAAAGGTATGAAAATTTCCATTGCACCTTTAATTCATAAATATAATAATTATTATCGAACTTCTGAAGATCTATTTCCGTTTTCCTATAACTACATATCTATTTCTGTTTTCCTATAACTACTATCCTGTAATCAACCTTCCTAAACAATTGTACACGCGCCCACAAGTTGCTCAATCAGCCAGATCGAGAGGGCCATCTCAGAACATAGCTAGAACAGGTTGAACCACACACTATCATGATATATATACTGTACTTTTTTTTTTCCTTCCTAACTGTTCTTTACGTACCGTGAATTCACGGTAGACATCTTCACTGTTTTTTTTTTCAGCTTGCCGCCTGGCCGGCTTGTAAATGGACTGTCAGCACAGCAAGCCGGCCCAAAAACCACTCTAACCCTTAGCCCATCAGGACCGTACTGTTCGCACGCCTGGACGCCCCGCCGCCGCCGCCCTCACCCCCGCCGTTGCCGGTCGCCACCCCCGAGTTCTTTTTCTTCCTCCTTGCTCTTCGAGCATTCGTCTCCCAGTCTCCCCCAACTCAGCTCAGGTACGTCCCCCGCCCGCAGCACATCCTCGCAGCTGCTCATCGTTGCACGCTGGTGCTTCCTTCATCTCCCCAGAACCTCCGATTTCGCCAGTTGAGTTCCTCTCGGACGCTGGTTGTCTCCTCCGACCTCCGTTTCCCTGTCCTATCTCTGTGCCCGACTGCAAGCCGCGCTCCCGCCGCATCTATCCATGGCGGAGCCAACCCCCAAGTCGAAGCGCACCAAGAAAGCGAAGAAGCCCTCGGCCCGGGGAGCTGATGGGGAGGACTTGGACGCGCTCAAGTCTGACGTCGCCACATTCGCCTCCTCCCTCGGCCTCCTCCCTGGCGCTGGCGAGTCCTCCGGCGGCTTCGATGACTCCGACTTCCGCAAGTCCGGCCCCATGAATAAATCCTCAAAACCCCCGTCCAAACAACCCCATCAAAACCCTGATAACACCTCAACCCCCCATCTAAACCCTAGACCTACCAAGAAGCCACACCCTCTCGAGCTACGTGACCCCTTTGCTGCCACCAAACCTGGTGCTGTCAACACGAATTACCCACTGATGAAGGCGGCAGCACTCTCAGGGCAGTGGTACACTGATGCTGATGAGCTGGAGGCGAGGGTCCTGAGCGGTCGTAAGCAGGTGCCTCCAGCTGTGGGGCTTCAGGAGATGCAGGGAATAGTGGAGAGGAAACGGGAGCTGGCGGAGAAGCTCATGGCACAGTATGCGAGGGAATATGATGCTGTGAGGCGGGGGCACGGTGACCTGAAGCTCCTGGAGATATCAGCGAAGTCTGGTACATCAGCTGACAAGGTGTCAGCGTTTACATGTCTTGTCGAGGACAATCCAATTGCAAACATGAAGGCACTTGATTCCCTCCTTGGTGAGTTGCACTACTGAAATGCTATTGGCTCTAAAAATAAAAGGCTGTAAAGAGAGTACAAATTGACTATACTGTTTGGCAATTTGCGGTGATTGCAAATTATTTAACTTCATTGCAATGCATATTGAACAAATTGTAGTTAGTATGATCTTTTATACTATAAAAACATTAACTAGATGTTTTGAAAGGTTTTGGAACTAGATTCATCAAGCCAAGATTTGCTTTTATGGAGCCATCATACTATTTGGTATCATCAGTATAGCAAGGCTTTCACATCCTAACAGTTTTGATGATATCCCTTATTTTGTGCTCTCATGAACATGCTAAGAAAATCATTTTATTTGTTGAAAAAAAATCACAACAGGTATGGTAACATCAAAAGTTGGTAAGAGGTATGCGTTCACAGGATTCGATGCAATTAAGGAGTTATTTCTCATGAGGTTAGCATCTTCTCGTGTTTTCTGAAATTTCGTTGTGCTTTTGCCAGTACACAAAATTTATTTGTTCTTTACAGCATTTTATACCAATCTTCATGGTGTTTGCTGTTTGAGTGATGCAAACTATGTATTACAGTTAATTACCCTTTGTATGCATGGGTTTCTTTTCTTACTGTGCCATTTCATGTGAAGCTCTGCAATCCTGTATATCGTCCCAAACAACATGTGAAACACCCAATTGTAAGTTATATTGTTTGATGGCGCCATAGCAATTTGTTTGTTCCTGAAATTTTGGTTGCACTAGGCCATCTTGCACCATTCATTTCTCTGCCCCTCTTCTGGCTGGAATTTTTATTTCTCTGATCTGATTCGTATTCTATGTTATTATTACACACATTATGCTCAGAGCTTGATTGTGCAATAGGAAAAATGTAGGATTGAAATGCTCCTATCAACAGCAATCTTCTACTTTATATTTAGGACTGTGCATGGGTGGGTTTAGATGGATTTTTGACCCACACGTGAATACATGTATTAGTTGGGTTTGGACTGGGTGGATATGCTGGGTTATGTGGATCTGATGCAAAGTGGTGGTGGGGAATGACGATCTTTGCAAAGTGCACGATTTAGGTCCATAGAGAGCACTATGAGCTAGCTACAGAGCGACGTCAATGATGACGACGTCGTCGGAGCTCACCGTGCACTCATTTGCTGCGTAGCGGCCTTCCTCGCCGCCGCCAACAAGCCTAGAGCCCTAGACCTAAGGCCGCTGACCTGGTGTCCTAGATGTGCGCGAACGTGACGAGCGACTTCTTCCGCGTGCGCCTGGCCAAGGAGTCGTGCGTGTCGGCGCTGGTGGCCATCGACCTTTCCAGGCTCCCAGAGGTGGCCAGAGATGTCAGTATCGTTTGCACTTTGCTACGACTCGGTGAGCATGGGCGACGCGGTGGCGTGTTGCCTTCGGTACTGCTGGGTGGACTATGACGGTTGACGGCATGGTGCACATCATGCCTAAGTGCCGTGGCGTGATGGGGCACTACAATCTTGACAGAGGGTGGATTGAGGCTCATGATGTGTTTGTGTATTTTTGGTGTGTGGAAAGTGGACAAACTGGTGGACGTGGCCCATGATGGGCATCTTGGCGCTGATGTCTATCACGTTGATGTAGTCCGGGCGGTAGGTCTGGTTGACCACGTCGACGTCGTCCTTGTCAGACCATGGAACTTGTAGAAGACGTTTAGGTGCATTAGGGAGCCCTTTTGTGTCTTGTCATAGCTGTGGACATGGGAGTCTTCGTCGGTGATGGGCACGGTGTTGACAAAGATGCCGAACGCGCCATCGAGCTCCATGGTGACGGGGTTGACGGCATCAATGCGGGTGACTGACAGCCCGGACACGGCCCTAGACACCCACCATGTGTTCTTGGTAGCATCGACGTTGACGGGCTCGCCGTCGAGCACGATCTTGACGTGGTCCTTGTCCTCGTCCTTGTCCCACTCTTCCCATTAGGCCGACGACCGCATCATGCTCGATGTTGGCGACTTCAACGGTGATATGTGTGGAAGGTAGGTGACCCAAGGATCTAACGGGTCTAACCCATTCCAATCCAACCCATGTATTAATCTTTCTCGTGGATTGGATTGGGTTTTGGTCATGTGGGTTGCTCAACCCATGCATAGTAATTTTTATGTCACAAGCAACTTCAATTATATGTTGGGCCCGCCCCATGATGCTTCTTGAATCTGGTCCATGTACCAAGCTAAATGTGAATTGAATAATTTTGTGAGAATGGTATGCAGTTGGGTAGCGGCCACACACGTGATGATGTAGTGTTAGTGGACGAAAGCCAGGCGGAATAAATAGGAAACTAGAGTTATGACGGTAGACCCTTGAGTCTAAAAGTTTTAGATTGAGCAGAACTAAAACCGAATACATGAGATGCGACTTTGGCGGAGTTGTACAGGAGGAGGGAGATGTGAGTTTGGAAGGTCAAGTAGTGCCTAAGAAGGATACCTTTCGGTATCTGGGATCGATGCTACAGAGGGATGGAGATATTGATGCGGACGTTAGCCATAGAATCAAAGCAGGGTGGATCAAGTGGCGACAAGCTTCTGGCATTCTTTGTGACAAGAGGGTACCACAAAAAGTAAAAGGCAAGTTCTATAGAACGACGATTAGATCGGCTATGTTGTATGGAGCGGAATGTTGCCTACAAAGATTCGACATGTTCAACAACTGAGTGTTGCAGAAATGCGTATGTTGCGATGGATTTGCGGTCACACAAGAATGGACTGAGTTCGGAACGATGATATACGTGATCGCCTAGAGGTAGCACCAATTGAAGAAAAACTTGTCCAACATCGATTGAGGTGGTTTGGCCATGTCCAAAGGAGACCTCCAGAGGCACCAGTGCAT